AAATGCCTCACCGTGGACAAGATTACAAATTTACCCCTAGCACTAGGTCAAAGAGCCGCCGTGCTCATTTTAGGGTTTCCCGCCGTGGAATCCCTAACCTAATTTAACCCTAATTACAATTTAACAATTCAACGTAGAAATTTGGAGTTCCTACACTCCGCGTAAGCGTGTCCTAAAGACATGTTTATTCCCCTTGAGACCTTGACCACGGTCAAGAAGTCTCTAACCTCCCTTTTGAGGGGAACTACGATTACTCTGATTCCACTCCCGTAAGGATACGTAGGCACAAGATGCGATGTCTTGCCGAGTAAACTTAGAATTAACCCTTAGGTCTTTTCTTTCTCACTTTTAATTCCTTTGTACATATACCTTAAGCAAATAAATAAAGCAAAATAGTAAACATTTGAACAAAAGGTTCCTGTAGAGTACTACAGAAGTTTAGGGTGCTAATACCTTCCCTAAATTTAACCAACCCCCGAACCCTAGATCTTTCCCCGCATTGTGTTTACGATGCAAAATAGGTTTTCCCTTTTTGACCTTTTCCTTCGGATAAATCAAAGAGCGGTTGTGAATTGAATTGCGATTCAAACTCATTAATAGTTTGTGATCCTATTTCCACCGCAACACTGAGCTTCTGATATAAAATTTTCCTCTAGGAGGTCTTTTATTGCTTTTTCAGCAGCCTCCTCTTTTTCGGGAGACTGCCTACGCCTACGTTGAACTACAGCCTTAGCGGCCAGGTCTATGGTGAGGTAGTGGCAGGCTACGTTGGGGTCAAGGCCGGGAATCTCTGCAACACTCCATGCAAACATGTCAGTGTTCTCTCAGAGGCAGGCCTTTATTGTCTTCCTCGCCAAGTCGGGGAGTCTCGTGCCGATCCTTACGCTTCTTCCTGGGTCATCTCTGAACGTGATAAGCTCGAAGTATCCATATGTAATGGGGCACGTTGGGTGGGACGGTTGTCGGTTGTCTGCTGGAGGTGCATCTTCAAACTCTACGCTCTACTCCTGCTTGCCGGGGAAGCGGCTGTCGAGATTGACAAAGTTGACGCGGGGTAGTGGACTTTGCTCTTCAGCACGGGCTGGTCTGTCGGTCGTCTTGGGGTGATGTTGATTGAGTTGATCCCTTTGATTGCCGCTTAGAAACATCTCCTGGCTACCTCGATGTCCCCGTAGAGGGTGACAACTTGACCTTTGGCTGTGTAGTACTTAATCTTCAGGTGCATTGCAGATGGCACTACGGTCAGTTCAGCTAGGGTCGGCCTTAAAGAAGGACATTCGATTCCCAAGAAGTGGACCTTCACCTTCTTGGAGGTCTCCTCGGCTCTGAATGTGACAAGCAACTCCATGTATCCCCAAGGCTTTGTGGTGGTGTCGTTGAAGCCTTGTAGGTCAGAACTAACATACGGGGTCAGGTGGCTCTCGTCGAGTTGGAAAGTAGTAAGTAGAGGGGCATACATTATATCCACCGAGCTCCCTTAGTCGACTAAGATGCGACGCACCTCAAAGTTCACCATCTGAGCCCTGATCAAGAGGGGGATGCTGGAGTTGGGTGCGCCCCCGGGTAGTTCCTTGAGGTAGAAGGTAATCGAGTTTGATTTACCTTTGAACTTGTCGAGGGTGGCGCTCTGCTTCGAGCTCTTGTCGATCAGCTCCTTGAATTTCCTCTTGACCGACCCAACTGAGAGCTTGCTGGGACCCCCGTCGGATATGACCATTGTGGTGGGGAAGTGTTCCCATGGGCTACAGGCGAACATCGGCCCGTCGGGTTCGTCGGGGAGGAGAAAGTCTTCTGGTCGTGAGACACACAGGGTGACTTTTAGTTCGACTTCTTTAGAGGATGGTGACACCTTCTCGACCCTCTTGGCTTCGTGGATCTTCTGTCGAGGAGCGTCGCTTCTCCGGGTGTACTGTTTTAGGTGCCCCTCCTTGATTAGGATCTCGATTGTGTCCTTGAGGTGGATGCAATCTCCTATGATGTGTTCATGACTTTGGTGGAATCGATAGTACTTATACTTATTGGTGTTGGGTTTAAGGGGTGTCGATTTCGAAAAACGGCATCACCTCTCTGAAATTCCGAATTAATACACTCAGATAGGATGCGCTTGCGGGGAGCTGTGAGTAGTGTGTACTCAGTGAACTGGCCTGCTGGCCCCCTCTGTTCTCGGGGCTGGTATTCTCTTCTTCTTTTCCCACCTCGTCAAGGGACAGTTGATTCCTCATGCCTGGAGCTCCTGACACCCTCTTGATTCCGCGAGTCGCGGGTGTAGTGGGCAACCTCTATCTCCTCATACTGGATGTATGCCTGGGCCTTGTGGAGGAGAGCGTCTAAGGTGTTGGGCCTTTCAATACTGACTGCCTTGGCAAACTCGATGTGAGGTTGCAGTATTCACTCGATCAAAGACCTCTTCATGTCGTCCGAGGTGGATACCTGAACAGCTTCTGGGTTGAACCTTTCTATGTAATCCCGGAGAGATTCATATTTTCCTTGGATGATGGCTTCTAGGGATGCTTCCGTCTTCAGGTGGCGCCGGGAAGCGGTGAAGTTCCTGGAGAACTGCCTCTTCAGCTCCCCCCAGGAGGTGATGGACTCGGGCGTGAGGCTCTTCTACCACGTCATAGCACCATTCCTTAGGGTAGTGGGGAAGAGCCTGCACTTTATGGCTCCCCAGACGTTCTGATAGTCGAGCATTACATCGATGCTTTCAATATGGTCTTCCGGGTCGGTCGTACCATCATATATCGCCAAGGGCAGGGGTTTTTCCATCCCGACGGGCAAGGGAGTCTCCCTGATGGTCCTAGATAATGGTGTGTACTGGTCGTCCTCATCACTCTTGACAGGTAATCGAGATGGGGAAAAGTCACCTGAGTTGTTTCTGTTCCTTCGGGGAGGACTCTTCGGCCGACTCTTTGCCTTCTCGACGTATCCGCCAGCTTTATTCCTCTTATGAGTGGGGGAGCGTCACTCCTTCCGAGAAGAGGATCGGTCGCGCTTCTGAGTGGCCACAGATGAGGCCGTTCCAAAAAATGACGACGCCTAGGTTGTCATGGAGAAGGGCTCCAAGAATCATCGTGTTGTATCATCTGCGTAGGAGGGGAGGGACCGCGAGAAACAGGGCGATAATGTCTCCGCAGGGGAGAGCGTGATTGTCGCTTTTTCTCGAGTATCCCTATCTGTTCATTCTGTTGGAAAATCATCAGATTTGTCTGATTGATTGCTATGAACAAGGTTACCATGGCTGGGTCGGTGTTGGTGGGCACATGAATTGGTTGGAAGATAGCTGGGCTGTCGAAGCGTTAGGCGGCATTGAAGGCCACATCGTTCGAGGAGGGAAAGGCGGTGTGCCTGCCCCTAAAGTCGCCCTCTTGACGTGAATGGTCACGTTAGGGCCATGACCGTCACCATTAGTGAACAAAGTAAAGGCGGTTTTTGGAGCGTTTTCGTCAATGCGTGGGCTAGCCATGATCAAACGGAGGTTCAAAACTACTTTGGTTCTTGAGCTTCTATGGAAGAAAGAACGGGGAACCAAGGGTTCCCACAGACGACGCCACTGATCTTACTGGATCAGAAAGGGATCAACAGCCTACCACGCGTCGTGAGCTCTTATGCTCACCGGTGTTGGAGAAGAGGAGATGGGTGTACCTGCAACATACTCTGATGTTAAAGTGAGAAACTGAGTAAGAGAGAACAAGTACAGAAAGAAGGTATTCTGACCCTCTAGTGAAAGAAGATATTTATAGTGTGCCCCCAGCGCGGGGCCAACGATCACTTTGCATTGGGCTGGATTGCCAGACCCAACACAAGTAATTGCCAGGGTCTACGTGGCGTAGAGAAGATCAGCATGTGGTCTTCACCCTGGTCCAATTGCTCCATGATCCTTGGAAGGTGGAAGACCGGTTCTTTTGAACACGAGCAGTTTCCTGATGACGTGTTCCCGCGTGGGGAACACATGGAGAACGTGGGGTAGACGCGTGAGTCCTCCCCGTGCTAGGTAATGGTTTGCCCGACTGCAGAGAGTACTGAGCGTGCCCGACGGAATGGAGGATTGAGTCTTGCTGGACCTCCCCAATGTAGCATTGGATTGGGCCTGCCCACAATGGGGCAGATACTGGTCCAGTCCAGAACAATTTTGTTATAAAGATAGATTTATTCAACTGACTTATCCAATTTAATCATGCGATTTGATCAGCGATCCAATAGTTTAATCAATAAACTAGTAATCCAGTATCTTCATTTTCTGTGTGTGGTTTAGTCCCTAAACCCAAAATCTGTAAGAAAATACGCAGATTTTCTTTCAAATTTTCTTACAGATATCGGCTTTAGGATCAAAACGCACATAAAATAAGATATATGAACTCAGATAAAAAAATCAATTACAAAAACTAAATTAAAAAACACATTAATTTATAAAGATCAAAAGTGCATTTAAACAAATATTTAACCTAAATAATTATGTTAGCAATCTTGACGGATTGCATAAGTGTATGACTATATTCCATTAAAAAACAAAAATGTATTAAAGTATAATGTAAAAGTTTTAGCTAGTTAAATATTTTTTTCCTATTATGAGAATGACATGCCACAAATGAGAGGAAGGCACCAACATTAGATGAGTTACCCAACCCACTTTTCCGTCCAAATACATTCGTGTTCTAATTAGTCATATTTTAACAACTTTGTCTCTATTCATTGAACATTTAAAAATAAAACTTAGTACTAATCCATCTGTCATTTTCACAAATAGCAACATACAACAAAATTACCTGTCACCAAACCTACTTCAATTTACAAAAATACCCTCTTCAAACCCATCAAATTCTTCACTTAAATCTTCCCATACATATTCATTGATGGTATTCTCGTCTTTCAAATACTTCAATAATTCAATCCAAAATCTCTATAAAAACTCAACCCTCCGTAACTCTTCATCTTTGTAATAATCAACACAAAATATACCAGTAACAACACTTTCTCAAAACTTTTCTTCCATTGTCGCCGGGATGTCGCCGGTGATCGGAGAAAACGCACCTCTCTTGTCAGGATCCAAGCCTTCTTCAAAACCAGCAACGGTTTCCGGTGCGGTGTTCAATGTCGCAACGAGCGTAATTGGCGCCGGAATTATGTCTCTTCCGGCGACTCTGAAGGTTCTCGGTGTGATTCCGGCTTTCTTTTTGATTCTGGTAATAGCTTTACTGGCTGAAATTTCGGTTGAATTTTTAATGAGGTTTACGCGTTCGGGTGAAACGACGACGTATTCTGGTGTCATGAGAGAAGCTTTTGGTCCCTTAGGAGCTGCAGCCACTCAAGTTTGCGTTGTGATTACTAATATGGGGTGTTTAATCATGTACCTAATTATTATGGGTAAGTAACAATGCATTTTTTTTTTCAATGGATTCAAGTTCACTAGTAATTGAAAAAGGTCTAATTAAGCTAGGTCAGTTGGAAGTTATAGAGATTATTTTATTGCAGAGTCCCGGATTCGAATCCATGTCATTCCAATCTGATCATTACACTACTAAATTAAAAATGTTCAGGACCGAAAATTAATGTAAATTTTATTTAAAATTTTGAATTTGAATATTTTTGTTTTAAAAATTGTGTATTATTTAATGTATTTTGCAGCGGATGTATTTTCGGGAAATAAACCTGAAGGAGTAGTACATTTGGGTGTTTTGCAACAATGGTTTGGGATTCATTGGTGGAATTCAAGAGAATTTGCCTTAATCTTTACCATAATCTTCATTTTGTTTCCGTTGGTATTGTACCGTCACGTAGGTAAATGTCTATTACTACCTCTGGCCTGATGGAATAACCGATGTATCTGATCTATATAGAGGTCGAATATATCTGTTATTCAATGAACTTAACGTTACATACAATACTCATATTTGGTTTTATTTATTGTTTGCAACAGAATCATTGAAGTTCAGTTCTGCAGCATCAACCCTTCTGGCTGTGGCATTTGTTACAATATGTTCTGTGTTGGCAATCATTGCTCTTGCGGAAGGAAAAACACAGACACCTAGACTTGTCCCTCGTTTGGACAAACAAACATCTTTCTTTGATCTTTTCACTGCAGTTCCGGTCATTGTAACAGCCTACACATTTCATTTTAATGGTAATTATTTGATTTAGTGATTGATTTAGACGAAAAAATTGATTATTTTACTAATAGTTGATTTTACTTGCAGTACATCCAATTGGATTTGAGCTTGGAAAACCATCAGAAATGGCAAAAGCTGTTAGAATAGCACTAATCCTATGCGCACTTGTATACTTCTCAATAGGTCTATTTGGTTACCTTTTATTTGGTGATTCGACTCAATCAGACATTTTAGTCAATTTCGACCGCAATGCTGATTCATCTTTTGGTCGTTTACTCAATACTTTGGTCCGTTTAAGCTATGCTTTACATATCATGTTGACATATCCTGTCCTGAACTTTTCATTGAGAACCACAGTTGATGAATTTCTCTTCCCTAAAAGACCTTTGTTAGTCACAGATAACAAGAGGTTTATGATCTTGACACTGGCTCTGTTGGTTCTTAGTTACATTGCTGCCGTAGCAATTCCGGATATTTGGTACATATTTCAGTTTATGGGATCAACCTCTGCTGTTTGTCTTTCCTTTGTTTTCCCTGGTTCTATTGTTTTAAGGTAATTCATTTTGTTTTGTTCTTAATATTCATTTTAATCTATAAGAAAAATCATTAACCATGTTTTTGTGTTATTAATAAATGACAGGGATATTCATGGTATATCAACGAGAAAGGACAAGATTATAGCACTTGTTATGGTTATACTAGCTGTAGTAACAAGTGTGATTGCTATGTCAAACAACATATATAAGCTCTTTTAGAAGGACCACCTAAGTTTGAAATTTTGTGTATGGTTTGTTTGTATCTAGAAATTAAGATTGGATATAATTTATAAATAGAGAGAGAATTTTAGACGCATGTATGATAGTTGAGGAGCTTGTGTCTCTAGATTATTGTAGATGTTATTGTTATGGTAAAATTCGTATATCAAGAATAGAATAGTTACTTCAAAAGTGATTCAATTAAAAGGAAATGTCAATAAATGCTTCAATTTTATAATAATTACAAGTAGTAATTAGAAGAATTGTTTTACCTAACTAAGTTTTTGAGAGAAATAAAGTTAATTTTTAATTCCTTAAAAAAATAAACTGGGACAACTTAATTTTTAAATTATTTATATTTTATTTAGTTGATGAAGTTTTTTATAAAAAATAATAAAAGAAAAGAAAATAATTATTAGTATCCAAGAAAAATGAAAATAAAATATTTGAGAAAACATATTTGTGTATTTTTGAAATAATGTAAGTGTTCTGGATAAAAAAAAAGAAAAGGGATTAATTAGTCTGCGCTTACAGTGTCAATTCATCATCCGTTTGCATGACTTTACAAGTTATTAAAATAAAGGCTAAATATCTTTTTTGGTTTCTTAACTATACCCTTAGGTTCAGATTAGTCATTTAATTATTTTTTGTGTCAGATTGATCCTTTGACTCTTTAAAACATGTCATATTGGTCTTTTTCGTCTAATTAGTGAAGAACCCGACCATTTATTGGGATAAAAATTGGTGTTGTCTCTAGAAACATAAATAACGTTTCAAAAAAACTAATTAGAGTAATTAAGAAATGATGAATCGTGGGAAAAGACCAGCTCACAACCTCAATCATTTACAATCCGTTGCAAGCTTTGTCATGAGAACAAACTTGCATCTAGAAAATGCCTCACTACTTTGTCTTTCGATTTAGAGAATCAAATTCAACTACCTCAAGGATTTGAGGTCCCACACCGTTCAAAGTGAAAGAGAGATTCATGCTTCAAAGGTTTCTCAAGTAGACCCACTAGGGGGCATGACATGGTTCACAGAAACTCCCAAAGATATACTTAACTGAATGTGAAACTAACATGCTATTGAGGAATCATCTTGTGGAAATAAACACACAATCAGCATTTTTGGAACTCTACAAATAACAAGTTCAAAAGGGAGAAATCTCGAACTGTCATCACATTAAAAGCTCGAGACTCTAGGAAAATATGGTAATTAATCACATTGATGGTTCCCTTCAAAGCATAGGAAGAGAGAGAGAGAGAGAGAGAGAGAGAGAGAGAGAGAGAGAGAGAGAGAGAGAGAGAGAGAGAGAGAGAGAGAGAGAGAGAGAGAGAGAGAGAGAGAGAGAGAGAGAGAGAGAGAGAGAGAGAGAGAGAGAGAGAGAGAGAGGCACATATCCATATCTCCTCGATCTGAAAGAGAATCCCTCTTACATTGAGGGGAAAATCGACAATAAAAAATTTGTGGTTGACAATGACAGATAGTCGTGGATTCTTCCTCCTCATTGAATTTTGAAGAGGGTGTCGAAGAAACGAGGTACAAGAACCTCTTCACCAAAAGAATAAATGAATACCCTATCTAGCGTGAGCTCGATAAACCATAAGGAATGTGCACCAATAACAGAACGACCAACCTTGATAAGTGTAAGTTAATTGCCTTAAAAGTTGAAGTTATGGTTTGGTTCAAGGGGGCTCATAGGAGAATTCATTCATTCATGGGGATAACTCCATAGTCTTTTTTCTATCACATTTCATGGCTTCTAGGAGGCAACCTAAATCCTTGGAAAGTTTGGGATCCATCACGTGGATCTATGTGCTTGTAGGTAATGAAGATCGACATCTAGAGTTTTGATAACGACAACGCATGATAATAACTTTCAAAACTAATGATAACCAAAGAATCTTATAAGAGAACTCAAGATCTATACAATCAGATACCATCTAACAAAGCCTTGAAGCTACCAACATCAAAGATATGGAATCAGAAGATGAAGATTGTCAAAGTGATATTAATAAATTCGTAAGGATCATGTTTCAAAAATTCAAGAAGTTCATAAGGCACGAAAAACAAAACTTCAAGACTCTAGAAGCAAAGTGAAAAATATAACACCCTAAACCCCAAAACTCTTATTTAAATGAAATCGTCCAAAAATAACTTTTAAATTTGCAACAAAGTGTTACAACTCTCTCTTAAACCAACTTTCTAAAAAATTATAATAAAGTAGCCAAACTCAAAAAAACATTAGTTTAACTTGATTATGTTATAATTAAAACAACTGAATCCCAAACATATAGAAACTAGTCCAACGACTTTCAGAAAACACAAAATAAAGGATAACAACTCATCCCAATGTTACACTATCAGAGTGATACGTGAGAATATTAAATAAACTCAAAGCGATAAACAAAGAAAAAGATAGCCACACAATTATCCAACACAACAACATCTAATGCTCCTCTACCCGAGTATTTGCACCGCTGACATAATGAACAATACAAATAACAAATAAGGGGTGAGAATACATTCATAAATGTTAATGGTGTATAAAACGACGAGGATATCTCAATAACATTATTCAACAACCATATATTTTAATTCACAACAATACTCGATAACAAATGCAATTATGTAATGCAATGTCATTCTTCTCTTCTACTCCAAGTGCATGTGGTACTAAGGTTTGGATGTGAGAGTTATGTTATTGATTAATCCATCGTCTCTTATTTCTCTCTGAACCTGAAATTCGTCATTGGTTCCTCTCTGAACCCTGACCCTCACTGGACCAAAGTCTCACCTATCTCCGATATACATGAATGCATGAAATGCCACAACAGTGTCAATATAATAATCAATTATCAGTTCCTCTCTGGAACCCCCACAACTTCGCCAATATACGACCACCACTGTAGTTCCTCTCTGAACTACTCATCTCAAAATAATATATAATTACAACTCAACACAAAACATATAATTATATAATCATTCAAGAATGCCCATCAACATGGTAGTAAATAGCATCAACCATGCATCAACGCTCTTCCATTTTTACCCATAACTCAACATAACTCATAAATAACTCTTCCACTTTTTATTAAAAAAAACAAGAATAACAAGGCATAATCTAACTTTAACCCATTCAAGACATTATATTCAACTCAAAACATCTCAAAATTAGCTCTGAACATGTTAGTAGCTCAAAATACAACAAAATAACTTACTTAACTCTAAGCATTACCTCATTACCATTGGCAAGGGTTTCCTAAACCGGCAAGGGTTTCCTAAACCTTCACCCTAACTCTAAAGCTAGATTTTTGTCATTTGGTAAGGGTTTTCCAAAACCCTCGCCTTAACTCTAAAACTATATTAGTGTATTACTGTCATTTGGCAAGGGTTTCCCAAAACCTTGTCATAACTCTAAGTAACTCAAAGTTACAACTTTTTTTTTAACTATACATAACTCTAACTCAACTTTAAAATATCAAATATTTTTAACTTCAACTCTAAACATATCAATCGACTATAAACTCATCAAAACAGCAACGAACAGTCACTGCAATAAAAAAAAACTACTCTAAACTCGTCCAAATGGACCACGGGATCTACCATCCCCGACCTTCGTCGACTCTGAGCAAGTTTCTGCTTGAAAACAATTTACAAAGAGAAAAGGTTGATAGAACTCCTTAACCAAATTGATTTATAAGGCTTTGTTAGGTCAAATTCTAATTTTAATATATATATATATATATATATATATATATATATATATATATATATATATATATATATATATATATATATATATATATATATATATATATATATATATATATATATATATATATATATATATATATATATATATATATATATATATATATATATATATATATATATATATATATATATATATATATATATATATATATATATATATATATATATATATATATATAAATTAAAATTTAATGTTTGGTTATTTTAAATGAAAAATATAAAAATACATTTTTAGTTACTTCTAAGGTGAGGGTTTCATTAAGTTCCTCACCTATGTATCATCAACTCTAACCGTAGGATTAAATAAATCTATATAATCATAATATTTGTTATTACACTGAATTTTAATTTCTTCTCCTTGTCTCTTCGTATGGGATTTTCCTTTCTTTCTGTCATTGTCATAGTTTATTGTCCTCACTAACTCTATCTTTTTGCCATCACCGTTCATCACTAACTATCACGTTAGTGCTCATTACTTCAACAATTTTTTTATTACATCCAATACCCATTCAACAATAACAACCCCAACGAATTTTTTCCTATTTTGCCACAAGCTGAAAAATTATACACCAAAGTGCCACACATTGAAAAAAAATTCCACAATTGCCACTACTTTTACAAGGGTTCGTCCTATGGTTGGACGACCCATTGAAAGACTTTTACGTGCAGCATGGATTCGGCCATCCATTGGCCGACCTTTAACTAGCTGCTTTTTTTTTTATTTTTTTTTTATTTCAGAAACTATGATATATTATTTTTAATAATTTTATGTTTTTAATAGTTTTTGATATATTAAAATTATTTAAATAATATTATATAATAATAAAAAAATAATTTAATTATTTTAAAAAAAATTTAATATAAATAATATATGTTTCACATTATATAATTAATTGTTAAATATAAATAATTGTTTTTTACATTATCTAATTAATTGTTTTTTATATATTAAAATTAGTTAAATGATATTTTATATTACTAAATAATTATATAAAATAATAAATTGAATCATAAAAAAAGAAAATATTATTAATATTTAAGAGTGGATAAAATACATTTTTAGACGGGCCGATTTGATGGGCCTGCCACGTTCGGACAACTTCAATTATCAGTTTCCATATTGTTGAAATGCATCAGGCTGATAGGGTCAAATTGCAGTTTGGATTTCAACAAGATATCCCTCCTCAGCCTAGATGTCTACGTCAACAACATGAGACTGATAT